CAACCCTAACTATTCCATGATTCTATGAAATGGAGAACTACTATGTACAGCTTATTAAGCATTATGTACTTAATACTAAAAGGTTATGAAAGATGATAAAATCTCGAAGTCCAGGGTTAGGACCAATCTCTAACTCTAAAAGACCTACTTTTACCTGTGTCAGCCTTCTCCCAAATATCACAAATATCAAAACCATGGTATTAAACACATGGCATGGTGATCCAGAGCAGCAGTTAGCATCCTTATGGGAAAACAATTTCTCCTGGAGTTTTGCTGGGGAGTGGGTAAGGATAAAGGCAGAGGCATTGCTCTCACTCTTACATGGCCTGTACAAGAACTATGAATGGCTACTGCTCTTTGCAACAGGGCTGAGTGGCCAACAGGACATCTGGCATGAGGCTCCCCTGCATCCTCATGTGTCCTTAGGCTGAGATTGCCTCCTGCTGCTTTCCTAGCTATGCCTTAGTATTAAAGCTGCATCAGGAGCAGTTTTCCTTTCTACATATTTTCCTGAAATACCAAAGATACTGCTTTATCTCAAATCAGAGCAAAAAGAGAGGTAAAAAAAAGGAAAGAAAAAAAAAAAAAGAAGAAAGTTTTGTTAAAACTGTGTTAGAACTGCCCTGTACAGCCAAATCCTGAGACTGGAAACAATTCAGATGTCTACAGTCTAACTGGGATCTTAATTTGATTTTACAGCTGTTTAATCCCTTTGAATTCAGCAGACTTCTTTCTACAGTGGTGTAAGAAAGAAAAAAAAATCATGCCATGTGTCTTTTCATAGGCAGGTGAGCTTCTGTAGTGTGATGGAAATGAGAAAATGAATGTCAGAAAGTGGGCCAAATTCTTTCCTCCGTTCAACAAGTATGAGTGAGAGTAGGATTTTTCTGTAGGAACTGAAGCTGACAGCATGTCAACCCGCACTCATTCAGCTGGGAGGGCTGGGAAAGATTATTTAAAGTTGTCAGCTCCTTCCATGCCTGGCTTTTGGCAACTCTTCTTGTCCCTTTCCACTGTATACTCTTTATACATGCTGTTTTAAATTAAGAAACTGAAGTGAGGGAACTGAAAGGTAAACTTAAAGAAAATAATGCAGAAACAAATGCTTTGCCCTATTTTTTTTTATTTTTTTTTTTTTGGTTTTAAATCTATTAGATAGGGAGCTTGCAAACAGTGACAGGTCCTACAGTGTACTCCATGGGAAACCGATGCCCTGTTGTTCCTTGCTTAATTCTGGCATTTTGGCAACCGCAAATATCCAGAACCAGAGAGAAACATCTGATTCCATAAAACTGGAACAGAACAAATAATTGATAACAAATAAGGTTTGTTTTCCACTCATCTCAATCTTCCGCTAATAACTCATAGAAGGCAACAACAAAATGCAAATGAGTCAGTGTTGGAGCTGTGAGAATTCACAGGGTAAGTAATACATTTGGAAAGGTTTACATAGGTGCTTACATTATGGACATTTTTAAGAGTTTGCCAGCATGAATCTGCTCCATCAAAGTAAGCTATTACAGTTTAATATCTCGATCTGTGCATTTTCATAGGGATATTCTGTGTGTCCACCTCCCTGAGCTGACTGTCCTGCCATTTACCTCCCTTTTGCCCCTAAGTTTGTCAGAACAGTCACTGAAGACAACTGAAAGAATAAACTGCCTGTTTAATTAGACCACAGTCTAATTATTATGGATATCCTTAGTAATAAAACCCCAACAACATGTAAAAGGATAAGCCAAAGTACTTCTGATGATGAGTACTTCCCCATCTATGAAGCAGAATCCCCAATCGGTAGAGAAAAGCACTATTTGCTTTTAAAGCATTTTGCTTTCAAGACATCACAGATACTTTATGAACTTCAGGCAGTGAGTATGTGAGGAAGGTTTCTGAAAGAAAAGTAGCTAGTTAGTATGTACTACTGTACTGGGGTCTCTTTTCTACTACAATGTATATAGAATATACTGATCTAAAAAAGGTGAAAATACAGTGGAAGCGCTGTGTACTCTGTATGATTTCATTGTTTTTAGCTTCCTAAGAAGCAATGTTGTTCCGACTGTAATGACATTAACAGCACGTATCTGAGTTAGCATTGTTCTAGCAGGATTTGCACATAGTTTTATTGCAATAGGAAGACTTGACATACGTGGGTGTAGGTACAAAAAGACAACTCTAAGAGTATTCTCCAAGCTGATCCAAAGCCTATTAAAGACAACAGAGATCTTTTCTCTGGTGTTCACAGGTTCCGGATTAGGCCCTGATTTACTCATTTTAAAACGATCCCCCATTCAGCATAATTGCTACCTGTTGCAGATGTTCAGTTCAAACACTCAGAAGATCTGAACAGGGCTGCATTGTTAACAGTCCACAAGCCCATATGCATGGGGCAAGATAAACACCTCCAGCTTCTGCCTGCAAATCATCCCAAGGGGTGGGTTTTTTTTGAAAAAGAGAAAAATCCTTCAAGCAAATCAGCATTTTGCTTACAGGGCTTGTGCACATATTTTAAAGGCATACTATTTTATATTTTCATTTGCTCCACTGTTATTTCCACTTTCAGTGTGCCTTGGCTCTGTTTTGGAGCTGGGGATCCACATGCAGTGAGCAGATCCATGTGCACGCATCTATTAGCTGAGCTTGAAGCATTGGGAAATGTCAAGGTAAACGTTTAAGGACTGTTCTCCCTTTGAAGCCACCATGTACAACTATATGTTACTATAGACTCAAGAAGTAATGCTGAACACTGGAAGTGTTCAGTCAGCATTTTAAACTATTATGAGCTACCTTCTGAACCATTGCCAAGTTAATAGACAATGAAAGATAATGAGCTTGAAATTGGGTGTTAAATTGCATTTTTGGTTCTCTCCTTTTTTCTTGAAGTTTAACTGTTTCCTGCAGAAACAACATCATCTTTGATGTATCATTATGTAAATGTCTATTTTTAGGTCACAATTAAAGTCAGGAGTGGGCTAAACCCTCACTCCTCCTCCTCCATGTGTGCAGGAAGGGGTAGAGAGGCGGACGACACACAGCAAGACCCAACCTTTCTGGTCTCCAGAGGGAGGAAGGTGGAGAGAGAAGGTTAGGTCTGTCAGCAGCATGAGCCTCCAACTTAAGAAGATTACTCCACGTGCTCATTAACACTGTGCCTGGACAGTGACATCCAGGGAACACTAAAAAGAACACATTTGTATTGCACAGGCAACACGAGGAGTATTTCTATGCACTCCCAGGCCTTTAAGGACTTTCAGCTGAATTCAGGTTTTTTACAACCTGAAACACCTTTGTCGTGTGGGGTAATGTGTATCCAACCTGCCCAGACTGTAAAAGTCATAAAATGTTGCAAATTTATGTATCAGCATGAAGAAAATTAATAGCAATTATTTTTACAAAAGTAGCATTGTATAATAATAGCTTTTCATTACCAGAATTTACTGCTTCACCTATGATTGTTTATTTTTTTTTTAAATGTGACTCCTAGCAGTATAAATATACTCCCTAAAAATGTGAAAAGTGGATCTAGCACTGAACACTTGATCAGAAGTTGAATGGAGGGTCTGCTATGGAAACTCTACTTTCTTTTCATAAATAACTGCAAAGAATGGGACATGACAAATACCAGTACATATGCTTCTGATAAACTTTTTTTATGTTCAACATAAAAGCAAAGAGTTAGAATAATTGTAATTATGAAAATAATTCAAATAATTTCAAAAGGAAGAGAAATCTTACCTGATACCTGTTAAATGCATTTTTTGAGGACTGAAGATTAAATTAGGATAGGAAGGTAGGCTTATACTCATTAGTATAATTGTGGGATCTTTCTTTTATTTTCCTTTTAAACTAATGAGTTGCATTAATCCAGGTTCATTTTTATAAGCCTCTTGGGTGCAAATGTAAAGGACAGTAATTTTAGAAAACAATAAATTAAAAAAAACGTATGTAGCATGCAATAAGTGCACGTATTTCATAAGACCTAGGTTAATACAACTGGCATCTATTTTAATTAATCCTTGTTAGTGTAACGACTAATATCCCTCCCTAGCATGTTTCCTTTAAACATTAGTATGTTAATTAAATGTTGTTTTTTTAAGGGTTTTTTTTTCCTTTGTACTTCAATATGGCCTTATATCATCTAAAACTATTCTGAACAACTACCTTATAAAGATGTTTCCTTACAATATCGGGTCTCTTGCAGAAATTCTGAAGCCTTTTAAAAAGCTGTTCAGGTGTAGAATACAGATATTCAGCTGCAGGAAAAACAGATACATTTTTAATGAAACAAAAACCTCAAAGCACACACTCGATATTAGTCACTTTACTAATTAAAAATGCATATTGCTCTGTGCCGCCTCGTGTTTTACATTATTTAAGCATGATTTTATAAGGTTACCTCAGCTCACAAGGATGTTTAATGCTAAATAAGACTGTGTAGTTGTGCTGTTTAGACATCTCCTTTGGGTGATTAAAATACATTATTCTAATGTAACACAATGCATATGTGATACATTTAGTGATGAGATTTTTCAAAGAACTAGTACTACATTAGTGCGTATCCTGTATCGCTGTTGCATACTATTAAGTACTAAATTGTTTAAATAATTTGGTGTGATTTTCAGGCCTTGCTGATTTGGTTTTTTGGGGTGGTTTTTTTTTTTGGTTTTTTTTTTTTGTTTGTTTGGGTTTTTTGTTTTTTTTTGGTGTATCAAAAAAATCTGCAAACCATTGCAGCATCACTGACCTTTTAACAAAAATCTATCATTATGGGCTGTGTATGCTAACAATGAAGAATGCTATTTCAAAACTTGCTTTTGTGTTATCTTAAAAGAACAGATGGCAAATATAAACTTCGTCTAATGTATTAAAACACATAAAATTTTCCTTAACACTAACATGTTGGCTTGCCAAATAAACAATTGCTTTTGCTCAAGTTTAGTCTCAAACTCTGTATTTTAACATGAATCACATTATTATGTTTCAGCAAAAAGAATATGCAACAAAGCAGTACCTGGAAATATCTCTGGGTACACCAAGGCTCTGGGACACAGCGGATAACAGCCACAATATACAGCTTCGACCCTGAAGATTAGAAATAATAAATACACAAAAATAGACATTAGTGAGACAAAAACTCATTTTGGTGCACGAGCATTGAGGTTGACTACATATAGCAAGAGTGAAGCATTTTTTTCTTCAGCAGCATAATCCTTCTAAACGCCAAAGTTGCTCTTTTTAAAGAAAATTTTATTGATCATATGAATTACATAGAACAGAACAGCGAGCATATGTTTTGTTCGCTGAATAAATCAAAGCGCAGCTCTGCATTTTTTTGTTTTTTAAATACTGTTTAACACATTTTATAATCAGCAGACAGACACATGTAACAACATGGTGAAGTATGGACGGCTTTTCTTAATAATGCTGCAGAAAAACAAGGGCATACGTGCGCATGTTTGGAGATATGTGGATGTATACACAGATGCACGCCATCACCATTACCTGACAGAACAGATATTCTCCTCAGACTTTGAGACTCCAAAGGTTACAGTTAAATATAGCCTAGGAACAACTTACAGCATGCTTCGGGCTGGGATATTTTAGCTTATGCACACGCTTCAGATAATTTCCTTTATTTTTCAGGACATAAACTCTTGTATTTTCTACTAACTACTGAAGAGGTTCCTTTGCCAAAGCATGCGATGCTTTGTACTTGTGTTTTTTCAAGGAACGATTTACATATCTTCTGTAACATCAAACCCAAATATTTTATCATTGCAACACAGTGGTGCAAAGTTTTCTAGTAGAAAATCTGAAGAAACGCTATCCTCTTCGTGCCTGCATTTTAATAGCTGAATGGGTTAAGGCATCAACTTTTCAGTTTATTTTTTTTGCATAATGACCATTGATCTGACATAATGTCCCTCCAAAGATACAACTGTAATTTCTGTTGGCCAGAAATTACACAGTGAAATTCAAAACACTTCTTAAAATATGTTTATTTTATAAGAGTCTTTGAATTTCCTCCAACATGTTGACCATACGAGGGCTTTATTTTTAACTTCAGTTTCCCTCAGTCCCCAGAAAAAAACATCTGAAATCTTGTCAACATTCACCTTTTCTATTTTCAGTGACAATCCAAAAGGCTTTCGCCACCTTCATGTGAATATTGGATTTGGTACTTTATTACAGGCACCCAGAAGGAACTCTGTTTCCTTTAGATCCAATCAGTTTTAAATAGGAAAAAAAACCCAAAATAAAGAATAACATATTCAGCTTTCATGCTAGAAACTATGCATGAACAAACCTCAAAGATACACATTTCTCTGCAAATGCTCTTGCTAAGCAATGATTGCTGGGCTGGTTTTTTTTTCATAAACTTTGAAAATTTGTATTTTTTTTTTTTAAATAACATATGCACTTCAGATTGCATTTTAAACATTAACAACAATTTCAAAGTGTACATCGTCTAGCACTATATTTTTTACCAAAGGGAAATGTTTCTGATGTGTGATTTAATTGATGATTTCAGTTCTTAAATATTGTGTCATATGTCAAAGCAAATAGATTTTTAAAGTTTTCTTTAATCTAGGAGAAAAAAAAAGAGTGAAACTGTGGACATTTCAGTAATAGCTCAGATCACTAAGTTATGTTAAAATATTTGCTTTTTAGTCATATCGTCTGCATGGGAAAAAAAAAAAAAAAACAAACCAAAACCAGCTCCCTAAAACAAAACTGCAGGCCAAGATGCAATCTGAGTCATCATTTGAGTATGCAATTTCCCCTTATGAAAACCTCTATCAGGATCATGAATTAGTAAAATCAGAATTTAATGCCTCTGTAGTTTGCTGGATAAAAGTTTGGAATTCTTTCATTTGCAAATGATCTTATTTGCATACTCATTTTCTACCTTTCCACACCAAAGTTTACGTGCATTTTCCGACAGGTCCTTATTATGGTGTAGTAAGTATTGCTATAATCCGTACACCTTTCAGATGCCAAGACCTATAGATCAAAGCGACCAGGGCAGAGCACATGCAGATACAGTTTTCAGTCTGAAGATGGACAGGGAAGCTTTGCAATTTCCACACATTTCTGTCCTTTTCTAGAGAAGTATCATATCATAACAATAATACAATTATTCTTCATTTCAATCCTTAAGTTCTACTAGTTAAATAATAAATAGAGTTCCGATTGATCTATTGTTAAAATGGCTA